TGGAGGAGGAGGAGGAGGAGGAGGAGGAGGAGGAGGAGGTGGCAGCAGTGACAACTCCTCACTTGATCTGCAGTGTGTATGGGCACCAACTGGAACAAAAGTCTGAACAGGGATGTTTCTAGCACAGTCTTCATGCTCAGGGGTTATCACATTACTAACTTCAGATAAGGGAGTGCTGCTGGTTTTCCTAGAGGACGGATGGATCACCGCCGTCATCTGAGAAGTCGGCGGGAATGTCTGCCGGGGAAGTCCACTCGGCAGGTGTGGAGCCACAGGTTGTGAGCGAGAGCTCTTTAGGACAGAGCGACCTGGACATCTCTGAAAATGAAAAACTGTTGTGAGAAACTTGCTACAAACGCAAACCGTCAAAATGCTAAAGCTTTCTACAAGTGAACACTGAAGCATTTCTGTGTGTGGATTATTCTAATTCACAAAATGGCTCCTTCTCACCATGTACAGCCACCCTTGCTACTAAATCTATCTATTAAGGAATAAGCATTTATATCCTTTCATAGAATACTTTCTCTGTAATAAAGATATGAAAGGATATATACAGATGAAAACATTCATCATATTTTTAGTATGAAAAATCAGAAACAGTATCAACAATAGGTGAAAAAGTTATGGTGAATTTAAAGTATTAGGCAGCCATGAAAAATCATAAGTAGTGCAAAGTCCGAAACATCCTTAAAAAATGCAGATGATCTGGTGTTAAATGTATTATAACCAGGTAAAAAACAGAGGTATGAAAAATACCAGCAGGGTGGACCTCAAAGTGACAGTTAAAACAGGAATTATGGATGTTTCTCTAATTTTTATGTTTAGAGCAAATTTTATAATTGAAAAATGTGAATTAAAGTTCTGATTAACGCATATATGTGCAATCTAGACAAGTGGCATAGTTGACTTTATTTACAAAGCAGAAATAGAGACACAGACAAAGCAGAAATAGAGAACAAATGTATGGATGCCCAAGGGGAAAGGGGTGGGGGTGGGAGGAATTGGGAGATTGGGACTGACACATGTACACCATTGATGCTATGTATAAAATAGACAACTGAAGAGTGGCCCCCGCTCACCGCAACTAGAGAAACCCCTTGCACAGAAACGAAGACCCAACATAGCCAAAAATATTTAAGTAAATAAAAATTTTAAAATAATAATAAAAATAAAATAAAACAGACAACAGATGGGAACATACTGTATAGCGCAGGGAACTCTTTAATTCACTGTGGTGACCTAAATGGGAGGGAAATCCAAAAGGGAGGGGATATATGTATATGTATGGCTGATTCATTTTGCTGGGCAGTGGAGCTAACACAACATTGTAAAGCAACTATACGCCAATAAAAATTAATTAATAAAAAAAATAAAGAAGCTCTGGTCTCGCAGGTATAGTTTACTAAAGAAAAACCTAACCTTACAAAGACCTAATCTTGAGGGATGTATACCTCCATGGACCAAAAAAACTGCAACTTTTACCAATTTGAGGTCAACTCGTTCCAGTTTGTTGAGAGCTTAGGCAGCCTGATTTCTGTCACCTTCATACCATCTTCATACTGTCTACATTTGAAAGTTCATGACTGCTCTGACTAGTTCAGGGCTACGGAGCTGGACTTGCATCCCTGAAGTCCCTTCCTCCACACTGATCAATACCCTCTGGTGACAGCTGACTAGCAAGTTACTGTCCACCTGGCTCATCTGTATTCATGTAGCCCCCCGCATTCATGCCCAGGCTCCCACCCAGGACAAGCAGACTCTCTGGAGGTGGGGTCTGGGCATGAGTATTCTTTAGAAGCTCCAGAGGTGCTTCTGATGTGCTGCCCGTGTTGGAGAATCTCTGCCGTGGCTCTGACTCTCTATATCCCTGATCTAAGTTGTGTAATCACCCTGAGCATCAGTTACTCATCTTTAAAGTGGTGATATCGCACAAGGTTGTTTTAAGAATTAAATGAGAATGAATGTAAGTGCCTAGCACATGCCTGGTATACGGCAGTGATCAGAGTAGAAAGCATATCAGGAAACAAGATGAAGTTGTAGGACATGACTGATTCACTCTGGTGGCCCCTATTTTTCTTGTTGGTATCACACAGTGCATCTTCAGTACCTCATCCCAGAATTATGTCTGGGAGTGGGTGGTTTTCTCTTTTGGGTCATTATGAAGGTGTGTGTTGCAGGTGTGTGATGAGAACAGGTTTATGTTCTACATTCAACAAATTTCATGTTACTTTAAAATAAGTATTTACTTTTTTTTTAAACCTATTCACTTTTAATAGGGCGCAAAATTATACTTACATCACAATGTTTCCTTGACCAAATTTTAAAGACTTCTTTATTACAAATGAGGAAACAGCTAAATCTAAGGGCAATTTAACTATTTTCAGTTTTTCCTGCCAGCTGACACCATGGTGAGCAGAGTCAAACCACCTGGTCAGGGGGCAGAGCAGGAACCCTAGTGTGCGGCAAGGTCAAAAACATCATGATATTTCTAATATTTTTGATTTTTATTTATAGACTACAAATAATGGCATTTGGGAAACATTTTATGTCCCAAATTATCTGTTCCTAATACTTTATACTTTTCTCCTAGGATGGGTGATCTTCGTTTATTTCTCCAGACAATGCAGGCGAAGTGATTATTTCTAGAACTCACCTCTTTAAATGCTCTCAATCGTTGGAGTGTTTTTTGGCGCTCTTGGTTTATCCATTCTTTTTTCTCTTGCTCCTCCTCTTTTTTCTGGTCTCTTTTCTGTATTTAAACAAACACATATTTGTAAACTTCTCAGAAGTCCTGAGAAAGAGAGGGACTGTCACCTGACGTTATTGCCTCCTCTGGCCCCCACGTCTGCCCCCCACGCTGCAGGGCCAGACTGTGCTGTCCCCTCAGGATCAAGGCTGATGGGGCAGTGGAGCTCCACTTTGCACAAACTTAAGCTCGTGTGTCATGTTATGCAAATATAAAACATTTTTCTTCAACCACTCACCCTCTGAACGCTATGATGCTGATGAAAATATTTTATGCTTTCTTCAGCCTGTTGCAATCTGAGTCGATGATTTTCTTTGCATTGATCCTGGGGGAATAATATAATTTCATAGATCTGTTTTTCACCTGGTTATAAATTGAACGCCACATGGTTTTTAATATTACCATGGGCTATAGCATAAAAAGTTAAAAGAAAAAAGCACTGCATTTGGGCTGCAGTATAAAGCATTTATTAATAGGAGTTATGGTGTGGCTCAGTGCTTCTGCCTTCTCCTCGGTCACGTGATATGGGGTGATGGGCTACTTACGGGAATCCCTCCTTCCCGGTAGGAGGGCCATGGCTAGGATTCAGTACTCTGAGAGATGAAAAAGCAAATCCTCCAAACAAGTGGAAATGAGAGGACATACAGGCAGTCCCACATTCCTAAGTGGGATGTGTCCTAAGGATCTGTTTCAATGCAATTATTTTAAACACATTTCCCCATAATGTTCTAAGTAATATCTCCAAATATACCTACATAACACATCCAACCTACAATACCTGAAAAATTATATTAAAAACTACATCTCAATTATGCTTAGCCATTCTTAGTATGTTACCTTTTTATGTAATCACGGAGTGTTTAAAAATTAAAAAAAAAAATCACTCACCGCATATAAGGATCGAAATGAGCTGAATATTATCTGACTGATATTTTATAATCAACAGTTCACAATAAAATTAATTTTAGCATTTATTATAGCTGATTAGAAGTTTCTACCTATTGTGGTTTTTAAAATACCTGTGTACGTAATAGGCATTCAATAAATAGTTGTTGAAAGACAATTAAAATCTAAAGATGATGGTGAATGCTTAAATCCAAAAGGAAAAAGAATCTTAAGAAAAACATTTTAAATGTATTTTAATTGTATCCACTGATAGCTACATAAACACACACAAAATTAATCATTGATAAAAGCCTTATTTTCAATACCTCTTTATCTTTCATAAAAGAAGAAACCCCCAGAAGGGGTAAGAAAAGAAGGCTGCCCGGGGCGCTCCTACCTTTCTGTTCCTGAGACGGGCTCTTCTGGCACAGATCCTGCCCCGTTTAGATTCCAGCTGCTGGCACTGCCGGCTGAGTTCCTTCACCTCCAGATTCTTATCATCCTGCAGCCCCATTACACGATCCATGACTTTAAGTTCCTCTGGATTTTCACATGGATCATAATAGATAACTTCATCCTGTTTATCTAGAAACATATTAATGATTCCTTAAAAATATGTCTTATTATTAAAAATATTGCATACTTTTTTAATTTAAGGAAAGTTAAATATCCTTGTAATTATGATTAACATTTATGTATATATATGTCTATGTGTACACACATACACACACACACACAACTTATATAGCTACACATATCATAAACAGAATTCTTAGAGAAACTTTTCCATGTGATGGAAATATAATTTTAATGGCAACACAGTATTCTCAAATTTAAGCACTCTGTTGTTAGAATGTTCCAGTGTTCTATTATTATCAATTTCACTGTGATGAACATCTGAATATAAATCTTTGTGTACATTTTTAATTACTTCCTTAGCAGATGAATATTTAAGGCTCTTGATGACTCTTGTCAAATCACCCTTCTCCAGAAAGGCAACTTACATTCTACCAGCAGTACAGCATTAAGGTGCCTTAATGATATTTAATCTTAATTACATATTGACTTTTAAAAAATACATGCTAACTGTAACAAATTCAAGCCCTACAGAAGTACACAAAATAAAAAGTGAAATTTTCCTCTTCCTTCACCAACTCTTTGGCATCTTATTCCCAGAGGAAAACATGAACAGTTTGGCATGCATCCTTCCAGATTAACTTTTTTCTAATAGAAGTTTTTCCTAAATATGTAAAATGCTTATAATGTGAAGCTACTGTAAAGTTTTTTGAATACCTAGGATTAAATTAAATGTTCAGGATCTATATGAAGAAAATTACTAAACTTGGAGGGACTTTAGGAAAAAAAAGACTTAAGTAAATGGAGAGACATACCATGTTCTTGGATGGGAAGATTCAAAATTGAAAAGATGACAATTCTCCCCAAATTATCTCTAATGTTAAGTGCAATCCCAATAAAAATTCCGAGTTTTTTGGGTTTTTTTGTTTTGAACTTGCCAAAATGATTCTAAAGTTCATCTGGAAGAATAAAGGAGTGAGAAAAGTCAGAAAATTTTTGGAAAAGTAGAGTAATGAGGGAAGTACTTGCTTTACCTGATACTAAAATGTACCTCCAAGGTACAATAATAGAAACAGCATGATACTGGCACCAGAAGCCACTCACAAATCAGTGAAAGAAAATAACAACTCATAAATAGATCAAAACAAATATGATAATTCTGAATATGAGACAGGTAAAAGTCAAAGCAAAGCAACAGGGGAAAATGTTTTTTAAAACTAGTGATTGGGGGCTTCCCTGGTGGCGCAGTGGCTGAGGGTCCGCCTGCCGATGCAGGGGACACGGGTTCGTGCCCCGGTCCGGGAAGATCCCACATGCGGCGGAGCGGCTGGGCCCGTGAGCCATGGCCGCTGAGCCTGCGCGTCTGGAGCCTGTGCTCCGCAACGGGAGAGGCCACAACAGTGAGAGGCCCGTGTACCGCAAAAAAAAAAAACAAAAAAAAAAAACTAGTGATTGGGACTGCTAACAATTTGGGGGGAAAAGTTAGATTCCTACCCCACATCAAAATAAATTTCACCTGGATTAAAGAGCCAAATGTTTTTAAAAACAAAATCATAAGAATACTGAAACAAAACATAAGTAAATACTGATATAATTTTGGGATAAGGAGGTATAATACCAAAGCAGAAGACTGATAGAGGTGACTTCATAATAATTAAATATTCCTACAAGGCAAGAAAAAGCAAATGACAGAGAAATTATTTGCAACATATGATAATAGAATAACATCTCTAATATAGAAAGGGAATGTTCCAAAGAAAAATGGGCAAAGGCCATGAATAGGCCATGAATAAAAGAAATACAAATGGCCAGTAAACATACAAAATTGCGTTCAACATCACTTGTGATTAAATAAATAAAAATTAGAAGATGCCATTTTTTGCTCTCAAGTAGGTGAGAATTTAAATGAATAAGTATGGGGAAAAAAGCTATTTTTATAATCAGCTGATGGGAGCATCATTTTGTACAACCTATCTAGAAGGCCATTATGCAGAATGAAATGTAGAAATTTAGAAAATAGTAGAGGTACAGAAAAATGCATATCAAATGATTCTTGTAGTGTTTTTTTTAACAAGTTATGTGTCAAAATGTAAAATATGCATTGTCCTTGACCTGATTCCATCTTTAGAAATTTATTCCAAGGAAATAATCTGTTGTATACACAAAGATGTGTAAAGGAAGGTTCTTCACTACAGTACTGTTCACAACAGTGAAAAACTGGAAATCCCGGCATGTCTATACAATGGAATACTATGCAGCCATTAAAATTTTTGATGGTTTTATTACTTACTGAAATGGAAGAATGATTATTATGTATTAAGTGAAAAAGAGGTTACTGAACAGGATACATAGTTCTGGTTTAAGAAATTGAAAGATTTATAAACATCAGCATACAAAAAAGGCTACAAAGCTATAGAGCCTAAGTATCTCTAAATGATTTAACTGGGGTAATAATAGTTTCCCTTTGTTTTGCTGTGTGTTTACCAATGAATATATTATTTGAATAATAAAGTAGTAAAGGGAAACTTTGTTAGAAAATTTCAGATATATTAGACAATATACAATAATTGATAATATGATCTGTATTTCCTTGAATGTGTAATTTAAACATATATACATTTAAATATATATTTTACCTTTTATAAGTCTTTTAATAGAGTCCAACTGTGTAACAAGCAGTATTTCTTCATATTTTAATATCTCAAATTTAACCTCGTATAGTTCTAACTGAACTTCATAATACTGTATTTCTAATTCATCTACAACATTTATTTTTTTTTCTTGTTCTGGAAGATCTTCCATCTTGTTTTCATGAAAAAAATAAGAGCAAGTTAAAATAATTAGTATATTAAAGACAAACTTTACAAGCATTCAAGTTATCTTCTATTCCTTGCTCAATATCAAATATAAAAAAAAGCAAATAGAGAAGAAACACTTTTCCATTTCATTTAATGGGATAAAAATGCCTTCTTCAATGTTTGTCACAAATACTTTATCACATCCCTGAAATATATGAAAACATTTAGGTTTTGAGAAAAATAAACGGCAATGAGGTATTTACAAATGTTTTCTGCTTTAAAGTCATAATGTTACAGGAAAAAAATTAAGTGACTACGCTTCTAGGATAAAGCACCTCTTTGATTATTCTAAAATTGTGCTGAAAACACGGCTTGATTGATTTTAAAGTACTGAGTACTTGATTGATTTTAAAGTACTACATCAGTACTGAGCTTGATGTTATCATCAAGTGAATCCTACAATATAATATTTCACAAACAGGGACCTCCCTGGTGGCGCAGTGGTTAAGAATACGCCTGCCAGTGCAGGGGACACAGGTTCGATCGCTGGTTCAGGAAGATCCCACATGCTGTGGAGCAACTAAGCCAATGCCCCACAACTACTGAGCCTGCGCTCTAGAGCCTGTGAGCCACAACTACTGAGCCCACGTGCCTAGAGCCCGTGCTCCGCAACAAGAGAAGCCACCGCAATGAGAAGCCAACAAACTGCAAGGAAGAGTAACCCCTGCTCACCACCACTAGAAAAAGCCCGTGTGCACCAATGAAGACCCAACAAAGCGAAAAACAAATAAATAAACAATTTTTAAAAAATAATATTTCACAGGCATTTTGACCAAAGGGAAACTTCACGGCCAACCTTCCACAGTCTGCAAATTCTTATCTACTGGAAGATGGTGTTGGAATAAGCGAAGAAAGGAAGCTCTTTCACAATGCCTGGAAAAAAAGATTCTACCTAAAATAAAAGTGTATTTTTAAAACAAAGTTTCACTTATCATTGTCTCACCTTTCCCTGAATTTCAGCTCTTTTGTGACTGAAACACAACTCTTTGGCTCTCATGAGTTGCAGAGTCTCCCGAGCTAACATCAGCTTGAGTTTTTCTAACCTAGGAGTTGCTGTGGCCCAGGCAGCCTGGCCAAATCTCTTCTCATCCTGTGCCATTTGTTTCTGCATTCCTGTTGTATTGTAATTAATAAAATAAAACATAGTTACAGCTCATTAAAACAGAAAAATTTATCCTGAACTAATTCTTTGTTTATTGCCTCCCATGTTACCTGCAAAACATCCCTTTTAAAAGAAGAATTCTTGTATTTTAGTGAATTTTTATTGTCACAAAAATAATGGTTATTGGTATAAAATTTTAGATAACTTCATTAAAAAAAAGAAAATAATAAATCATGAATCTCACTTACTTAAAGCAATTGCTTCTTACATTTTGGTGCATATACTTCTAGACTATTTCTATGTTTAGCTAGACAGACAGGAAGATATAGTTTGACCAAAACAAACAAACAAAAAACCCCCCCACAGGATCATCATTCTGCTTTATATCTTTTTTATTTCACTTAATATATCAGGGAACTCTTGCTATTCATAAATACAGTTATAGAGAATCATGCTTACTGCTACACGGCCTTCCATTTTATAAATGTACTATAGTTCAACAAACTGACAGACAATAAGTTGTTGCTATTTGGGTCTACTATCAACAATGATTTAAGATCAAAGTCCTTCACCCAGCCCACAAGATCATATGGTCTCATCCCTGCCGGTCTTGCTGGCATTATCTCACACCACATTCTCCATTCAGGCATACCTCAGAGATAATGCAGGTTCAATTCCAGACCACAATAAAGCGAATATCACAATAAAGTGATTCACATGAATTTTTTGGTTTCCCATTGCGTATAAAAGTTATGTTTACACTCTACTGTGGTTTATTAAGTGTACAGTAGCATTATGTCTAAAAAACCAATGTATATTTGAGGCAGGAGATAGACGGGCCCCAGGCTAAACAGTTTCTCCCCTGTGGACAGAAACTCTGTAATAGCAGAAACTCCATGAAAGCAGGATAATGGGGACTTCCCTGGTGGCACAGTGGTTAAGAATCCACGTGCCAATGCAGGGGACATGGGTTTGATCCCTGGTCCAAGAAGATCCCACATGCCACGGAGCAACTAAGCCCGTGTGTCACAACTACTAAGCCCACGTGCCACAACTACTGAAGCCCACATGCCTAGAGCCCATGCTCCGCAACAAGAGAAGCCATTGCAATGAGAAGCCTGTGCACCACAACTAAGAGTAGCCCCCATTCGCTGCAACTAGAGAAAGCCCGTGCATAGCAACAAAGGCCCAACACAGCCAAAAATTTAAAAATTAAAAAAAAAAAAAAGCAGGATGATGGAGGAGGCTGGGCCCTTACCAGATAAGAGATAAAAGACCACATATTCCTCATTCTCGAAGTCAAGGAGAACTTCCTGACTACACATGCACAGAAAGGCTCCTTGGAGGTCAAAAAGGGAGGGGGCGCCACCTCATAGTAAGTGATGTCAACCTACCCTAAGCCTCTAGAATCCATCTTGGCTAAGAGATGCGCACACACACGGGAGGATCCTGAGATATACCATATACGGACTCAGACCCAGGCAAAGCAAGATGGTTGGTCAAAGGAAACCCGGAAGAAATGCCCCGTAAAAGTGATTCGGACTACCAGGAGGGTGCGACTCTCTCTGAGCCCACCCGTGTGTCTATCCACAGCCACTGTCCTCTTTTTCCTTCTAATAAACACTTTACTTGCTTCACTACTTTCTGTCTCTATGTGGAAATTCATTTCTACACAGCTGATAGGCCAGGGCCTTGTCACTGGCCACTGGTCCCTGGTGGTCTTGTGGCTAGGATTCAGCGTCCTCACTGCCATGGCCTGATCTCAATCTCTGGCCAGGGAACCGAAATCCTGCTTCAAGCTGCTGCAGGCTGAGGCCATCTGAGATCACATACATACCTTAATTTAAAAATACTTTATTACTAAAATATGCTAACCATCATCTAAACCTTGAGTGAACTGTAATCTTTCTGGAATAATAACATCAAAGATCACTAATCACAGATCACCATAAAAAATATAATAATAATGAAAAAGTTTGAGATATTAGGAGAATTACCAAAACGTGACAGAGACGTGAAGTGAGCAACTGCTGCTAGGAAAACAGCACTCGCTATTTTACAATAGACTTGCTCAATGCAGGACTGTCACAGACCTTCAATCTGTACAAAACATAATATCTGTGAAGTGCAGTAAAGTGCAGTGCAGTGAAATGAGCTATGACATGAGGTGTGCCTGGACTGTGCTCCAGCCCATGGCTTCCTCATACTTGGCATACTTACCAAGTTCCTCAGACTTGTCAAGCTCCCAAAAACCAGAGGGCCTTTGCAAATGCTGCTCCTGCCTGGAACACTCTTCCCTCACTTTTTTGCTTTCTCCACTTCCATTTACCCTTCAGATATCAGGGCAAGTGCCACTTCTCAGAGACCTTCATTGGCCACTCTGATCGGGCCAAATTTCTCTCTCCTAAGCTCTCAGGAGAGCTTGTTTCTCTTCTTCATGTGGCTTGTTGCCACTTCATGTGGCTTGTTGCCACTGCCATTTTCCATGTGTTTGAATGAATATATAATTAATATAATTAAGATTTTTCTCCCTTTACCTGACTGTACAGTGGCTGTTTATGCTTATCCTTATATTGAATCCCCAGTACCTAAAAAATACAGAACCTGGTGCTTAAGAGGCACTCAAATGTTTTCCGAATAAAATGAAAATTACATGTATCTTAGTATTACCTGCTAACGCTTCTACTGTTTTTTCAAAATAATTCACTGTAATATCCTGAATTGAGACTATAGCTTCTTCAGCCCGTCTGGTCCATTCTTGGGCTTCCTTCTGCAGGGCAACCATCCTTTTAGGACCCAGACCATCCTCATCCAAGGACTTCTATAGAAAGAAGGGAAAGTTGTATTAGTAAAAGAGAATAGTAATGTAGAGCCATTAGGAAATCGAAAGGAAATTGGTCACATGGATTATTTCAGCTACTTTTATTACTACTACATAGTCAATTAAATTTCATTCATTCATCAGTTCCTTACTGAGTATGAATAAGGCTCTAAGTGGTGCATCCTTTGGATGACAAAGGGATACTCTGGAGTATAAAGGGAAAAAACCCTACTTTTACTTTGTATTACTCAAATAACTTTTTCTATAAGGGAATGTTGTCAAGTTATGTTTCTCTATTAATAATAATACACGATTGTTTGAATGAGACCTGTATTGTTAAGCACTCAGCAAAAGCCTGGTACATGACACTCAAGTGTTAGCTGTTGCTGTGGTTTCTTTTAGGGACATGGCAGGAAGCTTTTCAATAGTGAGATTCTTTTCTGAAGGGCAAGAGTAATACAATAACCTAAAACATGAATGATTGTGACATATACTATGTCATCTAGTATCCAATTCTTCTACCAAGCATGATTTAGTGACATAAGAAATATACCCAGGTTAGCCATCAGGGAAATGTAAATTAAAACCACAATGAGATACCACTTCACATCTACTAGGATGGCTATAATCAAAAAGACAGACAATAACAAGTGTTAATGATGATGTGATCAAATCGGAACCCTCATTTACTGCTGGTAGGAGTGTGCATTTATGGAAAATAGTCTGGCAGTTCTTCAAAAGGTTAAACAGTTACTGTAGGGTCCAGCATATCCATATATCCAAGAAAAATGAATACATATGTCTACATAGAAACTTGTACACAAATATTCATAGCAACATTCATAATAGCCCAAAAGTGGAAAGTTACAAATGTCCATCAATCGCTAAATGGATATGTAAATGTGCTATGTGCATACAACGAACATTATTTGGCAATGAAAAGAATGAAGTTCTAATACACACTACAACATGGATGGAACTTGAAAACCTGATGCTACATGAAAGGAGCCAGACACAAATCATTCCATACGATATGAAATTTCAAGAACAGGGAGATCTAGAGGCAGAAAGCAGATGGGTGGCTGCCTGGAGTTGGGGGGGAATGGGGAATGCATATGGGGTTTCTTTTCAGGGAGATGAAAATGTTCTGGAATTAGTGCTGGTGGTTGCAAAACTCTGAATATACTAAAAACCACTGAATTGTACACTTTAAATAGGTGAATTATATGGTCTGTGAATTATATCTCAGTACAGCTGTTATTTAGAGAAAGAAAAAATAGACACAGGAAGTAAAGACAATCCAAATAATAGATTTGCAAAATAATGAACAGAACAACTTTCTCCACAGGTTAGGCTGGCATGAGTTTCATCTAAACATGATACCATTTTTATGGTAGCCCGGCAGTGGCCATAAGTGCATGTGTGGAAGGATGGCCCAGTGCAGCGGGCAGAGATCAAGAGATGTCTCTGTTGTCTTCTGATTCCAGCTGGTTTAGAACCAGATAAAGCTATTGAACCTCCCCACCCACCTTGGTTCCAGATTCATTTATAACACTGGAATGATAATGCTTATTCTATCTAGTGTTCCATGGCTCAATGAAATAAGAGCAATGACAGCATTGACTAAAGTTTAATTTACTGAATTACAATCCAGGGCCTTGCTATTTAAATTTTCATCCTATTTCTCAGAAGTCTGCATGTATCCTTACTTCCCTGGTGGCACAGTGGTTAAGAATCCACCTGCCAAGTGCAGGGGACACAGGTTCGATCCCTGGTCCGGGAAGATCCCACATGCCACGGAGCAACTAAGCCCATGCCCCACAACTACTGAGCCTGCGCTCTAGAGCTCACGAGCCACAACTACTGAGCCCATGTGCCACAACTACTGAAGGCCGCGTGCCTACAGCTGGTGCTCTGCAACAAGAGAAGCCATCCCAATGAGAAGCCCGCACACCGCAACGAAGAGTAGCCCCCGCTCACTGCAACTACAGAAAGCCTGCGTGCAGCAATGAAGACCCAATGCAGCCAAAAAATTAAAATTAAAATTAAAAAAAAGTCACCAGCAAAGAAAATGTGTAACCCTTGAAAATCTGCAGAAATCTTAATGTATTAAGACGACCGATGTAAAATGTCTTCATCTGAAATCAATTTAAAAAATAATAAATTCGATATATCTACAATATATCTAAACATAGGGTAAACCCAAAGTGGAAACACAGACTGAATCTTAAATGCGACTGAAGAAATAGTATACGATAAAGAATAAATCTCATAAAGTAAAAATATAAAGAAAACGTACCAAAATAGCAAGCTTACATGAAGTTGCAAGTTCTCGCATATCCCTGAATGGCTGCAGTAAATACTGGAAGAACATGGTTGCCGCAGTAACTAATTCCTGGTATGCTTCATCTTCCTCTCGATACACTTTCATTAATGCTACCATGGTGTTGGCTTTTTCATGCCCTTGAAGCACCTAGAAGGCAAAATGTAAATAAAGCTCACGTATGGACAGTATTTATAAGGATCATACCAAACCAACAAAGCTAAAGAAACCTGAATATTCTAAACTTTAATGCGTCAATTTAAAATACTGATTAAGGGGCTTCCCTGGTTGCGCAGTGGTTGAGAGTCCGCCTAACGATGCAGAGGACACGGGTTCGTGCCCCGGTCTGGGAGGATCCCACATGCCGCGGAGCGACCGGGCCCGTGAGCCATGGCCACTGAGCGTGCACGTCCGGAGCCTGTGCTCCGCAACGGGAGAGGCCACAACAGTGAGAGGCCCGTGTACCGCAAAAAAAAAACACAAAAAACCAAAAACTGATTAAACACGAAAATGCTATTGTTCTCCAACCAAAATGCCCAGTAAGAATGGTTAAATAAATCATGGTATATCCACAGTAGACTACTATTACTATAATTAATCACTCAGCACTGTGCTTTTGAAGACTGTTTAGTAACTGGGGACTTTTTTTTTTTCTTTTTTTTTTTGCGGTACGCGGGCCTCTCACTGTTGTGGCCTCTCCCGTTGCGGAGCACAGGCTCCAGACGCGCAGGCTCAGCGGCCATGGCTCACGGGCCCAGCTGCTCCGCGGCATGTGGGATCTTCCCGGACTGGGGCACGAACCCATGTCCCCTGCATCGGCAAGGCGGACTCTCAACCACTGCGCCACCAGGGAAGCCCTGGGGACTTTTATAATAATAAATGGGAGGTGGAGGAGGATGCAGAGTTGAAAATTTTATCTCAACTATGTTTTCTCTAAGTACTCAGAGAAAATGACCGGAAAAAGGCATCAAATAGGGTGTAGACTGAGGATATTTTTCATCACTTTTCCAACCATAAAGGTTTTGTGAGGATGTACTCCTTTTTTAAAAGCTCATAAGGACACAGAAATGCCTCCAAGTACTTCTCCAGCATGTCAGCTCTCTTAATTTCCCAGGTTAATATTGCCACCAAACCCCCAGCAGACTCATTTAGCATCACAAATGTGGCTCTAGCCTCTGCAGAGCGCTTCTTCTGAGGCAGGTTAGAAAATAAACTGAGCATTTATAATCTAGATAAACTCATTTAGTAAGAAATTACCTTACCCCCCCCCCACAGGAGAAGAGAAATAAAATCAAGTAATAGTACAGACTTTTTTTTCCCAGTCAATATCCTTAAATTCTTCTGTTTCCTTCCCTCCACTTAAGCATAAAGTGATCTATGTTCAGCTGACATTTTATCCAGGTGATAATAATAGGATTAAAAAAAAAGTTTCCCTGAAAAATATTAAAACACACAAAAAAGTAAACTTAAGACAACTGATACTTTTCAGTCTTATTGCTTAGACTTCAGAATTCAAACCATTCAGCTTCACTTTATATATACAAGCAATACTGGCAACTGGTCTAATTCTAGAATCAATTGCTTTCCTGTTCTAAATATGAGCTGAGTATTAAGATGATCACATACACTTCCATGGATGCAGTATATTTTGTATTTAAGCCCTCCCCCGCCCACCTGTTACACGTAAACAGGTGAACCACACAAGTGTCAACAGCTAGCCTAACAGTATGAACTATACTAGTGCCATAATACCTCTAAATGAACTTCAACTTGGGTAAAGTATAACTTTTACAATAGTAACATATGTTAGTTTAAGGAAAAACTACTTCTGTCAGAAACCGGTGTCTAAAAAATAAGTCTGATGATAAAGTTGGGCTTCCCTGGTGGCACAGTGGTTAAGAATCTGCCTGCCAATGCAGGGGACACAGGTTCAAGCCCTGGTCCTGGAAGATCCCACATGCCATGGAGCAACTGAGCCCGTGTGCCACAACTACTGAGCCTGCGCTCTAGAGCCCGCAAGCCACAACTCCTGAAGCCTGGGCCCCTAGAGCCTGTTCTCTGCAACAAGCGAGGCCACTGCAGTGAGAAGCCCTCGCACCGCAGCAAAGAGCGGCCCTGGCTCGCGGTAACTAGAGAAAGCCCGCGTGCAGCAACAAAGACCCAACACAGTCAAAAATAACTTTAAAAAAGATAAAGTTGACTGGCCTGAAACTGCCCTGTGGTTTCCTCACATTAAAAATGAAATTAGGGGCTTCCCTGGTGGCGCAGTGGTTGAGAGTCCGCCTGCCGATGCAGGGGACACGGGTTCGTGCCCCGGTCTGGGAGGATCTCACATGCCGCGGAGCGGCTGGGCCCGTGAGCCATGGCTGCTGAGCCTGCGTGTCTGGAGCCTGTGCTCCGCAACGGGAGAGGCCACAACAGTGAGAGGCCCGCGTACCGCGGAAAAAAAAAAAAAAAAAAAAAAGCTCATTCTATATTTAGCTTGAGAGGATATAATTAAAATTTTGAAATGTGGCTGGATTGTTCTCTTACACCACCCCTTCCTCAAATGAAGGCAGAGAAAAATCATTCAGATTAAGTACGGCGTATAATGAGAAAAGGGCAAGCAAAAGGCACGTCAGAGTGTGGGTTGGGCACTAAATCTTGACTCAGGAGAGTCAGCTGGTTGTGGATATATGAGCCATATTTTTCTCTTAAACCCTTTTGTGAATTTGTGAATTCCCTTCAGTTCTGTAAGCTTACCACTCAAAAAATGAATTGTTGGGCTTCCCTGGTGGCGCAGTGCTTGAGAGTCCGCCTGCCGATGCAGGAGACGCGGGTTCGTGCCCCGTTTCGGGAGGATCCCACATGCCGCGGAGCGGCTGGGCCCGTGAGCCATGGCCGCTGAGCCTGCGCGTCCGGAGCCTGTGCTCCGCAAATGGGAGAGGCCACAACAGTGAGAGGCCCGCATAACGCAAGGAAAAAAAAAAAAAAAAAAAAAAAAATGAATTGTTCCATCTCGCTAATTACCTCTTTCAAGCTTAAAATTGCACTCATGTTGCTGCTGTTCCACACTGATGAAGACAGCTCACATCCTGTCGGCTGTCCACTTGACCAAGTCTTTATTACCTAAAAAAACCTGTGTCCTAGAAGCACCTTCATCCTCTAAAACATTTTGTCTCCATTATCGGTCTTCCCTCATACACAGAACCTGTTAGTGTTTACCTTCAGTCTGTGTTGTCATTTCCTACACGGATGGGATATTTCTAGTTTTGCTTTCAGTATTCTCTGGCACTTCCTGTCAAAACAGCCAGCTCCACCAGCATCTTCAGGGGAAGGGTTTAAGGGCCTACCCTGGCTCCTAACTGCGATTAAACTTTGATTTAACTTAGTCTTCTCGCTATAGGCCCCACGGGGCTTCCGCGAAATTCCCCTCGCTGCTCCCCGACTGGTGAAGAGCACCTGCGAGGCTGCGCGGCCCTTCCGCGCATCAGGCTGTTAACCTGCTCCTTCCCCGCGCTGGTCTGCGGAAGGACCCCCCCTCTTGCACTCGTCCCACCCTGGACAAGGGCCCGAGGCTCAACCGAGAGGCAGAAGGACCGGGCGACGGCCCGGCGGGCGCGTACCTGGCGCAGCCGCGCCCCCGCCTCGTCCCGCCGCGCGTGCAGGACCCGCTCCCGGAACTCGCGCAGGCTCTCGCAGTCGGCCGCGCATCCCTCGGCGGGGAAGAGCGCGTCGCGCACCGCGACGCCGCCGCAGCCGTCGGCCGCCTGGCCCAGGTAGCGCTCCAGCTGCCCGCACAGCTCCTGCAGCGCCGCCTCGCCGAGGTCCGTGCGCGCCGGCCATACCAGCGTCCACAGCCCGAGCCCCAGGCCCCAGGCCCCGCCACCGCCCGCGTCCAGCTCCGGCGGAAGCCGCGGGAAGCAGCGCTCCAGCGGCGGCCACAGCGCCGCCAGCTGCTGGTGCGCGCCGCGGAGCCCGGCGGCCGAGAGCAGGCCTGCCCAGCTGGGCGGGGGCGCGGCGGCCTCAGACACGGGCTCAGACACCAGCTCGGGCCCGGGCTGGCTCCCCTCGCGCCGCCGCCGCTGCGCCGTGCGGTCGTGACAAGTCACAGCGAACTTGCCCTCCACGTCGTTCCAGGCCACGAGGAAGCGCAGCTGGTGCCGCTCGGGCTCGGCGAACAGGTCCTCGCGGACCGGCACCCAGCCCTCCAAGCTGTCGGGTTGCTCGTCCTCCATGACCGCCGGCGGTCAGCGCCCGGAGGGCTCGGCTCGCCGGAGCCTGGTCTCCCTGCACCCCCAGCCATTGGACTGTCCGGACCGCGTCATTTTTCGCTGAACTGAAATCGGCGTCAGCACCCCAGCTGCCGCAACCCTCGGCACTTTTGATTGGCTGCCCGCGGCCTGGGAGGCTTCCAGCACGCTTCCGGGATTGGTTGGGTGATAGAAGGGAGGGTTCGCTACAACCAATGAAAAGGTCAGAAGGTCGCCGCTCCGAATCAATCAATGTCGCAACCTCGTCTGGAGCCTGGAATGATCACTCTTGCCTCACCTTTTCCACCTGTGTACACACTGACGTTGAAAAAAATATTTGTTAAATGAACGAGTTATTGTCTTAGCCTCCTACACTAAACTGTGAACCTCTTGAGAACATAAACCCAGCTAGCTGACTTGGTCTTCTATTACTGGGTAGAAGCCACAAGCTTATTGGTATCAATTCAACAAGCTTTTATGGAATGTATGCTGTGTGCCTGTTTGGGGAGGCTAGGCGCGGAGGGGGCATACAAAAAACGTGCAGTCCCTCCATCTTCAAAGCATCCCAGCTCCCAACCAACATGTTTAAATATAATCTGTGTTCTAACACGTCATTTTAGAGATAAGGAAACTGAGACCCAGAAAAGAAACGTTTCTTAAGATACACAGACACTTAGGCAATTAGACACTTCAGACCACCTGGCTATTGAAGACCTGTTTACGGAGATCAGGAGATGTAGTTTGCAGGTAGGGATGGAGTGTGGGTTGGAGCTGAACCTGTTCATACAACAGGGTATAAGACAACACTGGGCTCTACCCAGGAAATGTACAGTGTAGACTGAGAAATACAGTACATGTCAGCTCCCGTCCTGTGAGAGCACTGCTAGAGGGGTAGTGGGGTTGGAGGACCGAGGGGGAGGAGCGAGAAGCCCAGGGAGCGGGGAAGGAGCCCTTCATCAAAACACGATTTGTGAGGGCTTGATTCAGGAACTAGTGAAAGGGCTTTTGAAGTTTTTGAGCTGGGAACGCCAGGAATCAGATTTGTACTTGCTATTATGCCCAAGATAAAACAACAACAACCCCCCTCGCCCCCCCCCCCAAAAAAAAAAACAGGGCCAGGCTGAAGCTTTGGTTAGGGGCATCTCCACACACGCACACACACACACACACACACACAAGATAATCCCAAGGCATCTAGCAGCCTCTGTGGAATGTAGCTTGAAGGTCTAAAGGTGCCTCTATCTGAAGGTCCCTCCCTTTAATGTCCAGGAGAGGTGGGGCTATGGGTTCTTGGATTCCCAATAGCTACTCTGGCTGTCACCCAGTCCTCTTGGAGAGATAACCTTCTAGCTGAAGTGATTTATTTTTCCTCAAACTATTTTTTAATATATCTTTTTATCTAATATGATTTCTTACAATTCTTTAATAGTCTATTTTAATATCTTTGAATATTCTTTACAGTATGTCTTTACTGGTTTTATAATCTTATCATTTCTATTATTCTTTCTAAATTATTTGCTTTTTCAAAATGAAACTAGCAGGCTTTCTAATTATAAAAGAAAATTTTATTTCTTGTGAAAGGGGAATAAATGTATATATTCTTAGAAAAAATGTGGAAAAGTATACACCAAACCTAATAATTGTTGTTACCAGGATGCATGACTGGTTTACATTCACTTTATGGTTCTTCTGTAGTATTTGCTTTTTTCTCAGCCAAGTATTATATATTATTTTACAATAAAAAATAATTTTAAAAAGTAATAAAAGGTATATATAATTATTATTAAATGGACATATCAAAGATATAAGTAAAATAACTCAAAAAAGATAAACCCTGCTTTCATTTTGTGTGTGTGTATATATATATATGTGTGTGTATATATATAATTATATTGTAATAATATTTTGCATACTCTTTGTACTTACAAATATATTGTGGACATTTTCCACATTAAAAAAATAGGCATTGGGGCTTCCTAGGTGGCGCAGTGGTTGAGAGTCCGCCTGCCGATGCAGGGGACACGGGTTCGCGCCCCGGTCCGGGAGGATCCCACATGCCGTGGAGCGGCTGGGCCAGTGAGCCATGGCCGCTGAGCCTGCGCGTCCGGAGCCTGTGCTCCGCAATGGGAGAGGCCACAGCAGTGAGAGGCCCGCGTACGGCAAAAAAAAAAAAAAAAAAAAAAAAGGGGCGTGGGGCTTCCCTGGGGGCGCAGTGGTAAAAACCCCCCCTGCCAATACAGGGGGCACGGGTTCCAGCCCTGGGCTGGGAAGATCCCACATGCTGCGGAGCAACTAAGCCCATGCGCCACAACTACTGAGCCTGCGCTCTACAGCCCGCGAGCCACAATTACTGAAGCCTGCGTGCCACAACTACTGAAGCCCATGTGTCTAGAGCCCATGCTCTGCAACAAGAGAAGCCACCGCAATGAGAAGCCCGCGCACCACAACAAAGAGTAGCACCTGCTCACCACAACTGGAGAAAGCCTGCGCACAGCAACGAAGACCCAACACAGCCAAAAATAAATAAATAAATTAATTAATTAATTTAAAAAGATATCTACATTATTATTTTTAATACTTGCCAAAACTGAGTTGACAGTATTGTGATTTATTTAAAGAATTCTATATTGGTAGGAATAGATTAATTTCAATTTTCTGCCAATATAGATAATGCTGTGGTGAACATTCTTGTACGTATATCTTTGCATAATTTATTCTTTCAAATTGTTTGCTTTTGATATTTTATTTGGCTTCCAATATTTTTTATTGTATAGATACCTGGCAGTAACAGTATTTTAAAAATGAAATTTTGATTAAGGTTTCAAAAAGCAATAGATGTAAAATTCTGAGATCAAATCACCACATGCAGACTTTTCAAGGAAATGGTCCAGAACCCAATTCATGCCTTCCACCAGTGGAAGAAAATAGAAAGGGATCAGAGTGAAGAAAAGAGGGTGTTTGAGAGGGAGACTGGTGGAGCGATTTTTCTGGAGAGAGCTATTGTTGGACTGGGCGGGGGGAGAGTTGGAAGCCCCACCCTCTATCCCCAAGCCCAGTGTGGGGTCTTCAAAGGGACCCTTCAGGTAGCTCGCTGTATTTCCTGCAAGTAGGTCAATGGTGGCCTGAGGAGAAAGGATTGGCTGCTTTGGTGGCAGAGCCAGGGGGAGTGGCTGCATTGGAATTGTCTGCACCCCAGAGTTTGCCAGGACTAAAGATGGAGCCTACATCCCAATATCCAGATGTGGGCCAGCAGGACGACAGAGCCAGCAAGGAGTCACCTAGATCCTGCCTGAGAGAACCAGCTGCATGGGTCAGGAGACCTCATTTGAGAAATCTTGGAGGTGGCCCACCAGGGCCTGGAGGAGGAGTGCAAGGGACCCCCTGGAATAGCGGGGTTCTCAGCCTGGTCGTGGGAACTCCAGGGGAAAGGGCTCATCATGGTAAACCCCAGAGATATACAAAAGCTCAGAGAGACAGAGAGTGCTCTAAGCATCTGCCTGCCCCAGAGAGCCAGAAGCTAGCGCCCACCCTCTGTGGCATCAACTCAGATAGGAGCTGTCTTATCACCTTAGTGCCTCCTGCCCCTGGCAAACAAACCAGCAGCTAAGGGAGGAGGTGTGGGAACAAGAGGCCGACCTCATCCCCTCCTTTCCCAGGGCAGACTTCCAGCTACAGAGGCCTCAGCTGGGGAGGGGAGATTTTGATGCCCATTAGACTAAGTTTGACTTTTTTAAAAATTAATCAATTTACTTATTTATTTATTTTCGGCTGCGTTGGGTCTTTGTTGCTGTGAGTGCGCACTTTCTCTAGTTGCGGCGAGCGGGGACTACTCTTTGTTGCGGTGCACGGGCTTCTCATTGCGGTGGCTTCTCTTCTTGCGGAGCATGGGCTCTAGGCACGCAGGCTTCAGTAGCTGTGGTGCACGGGCCCAGTTGCTCCGCGGCATGTGGGATCTTCCTGCACCAGGGCTGGAATCCGTGTCCCCTGCATTGGCAGGTGGATTCTTAACCACTGCACCACCAGGGAAGTCCTCTAAGTTTGACTTTTTAATTAACGTATTGGACTGTACATTCCCTTACTGAATGGAGACTATGCCTTCAAGTGACCCCAGGACTCTGTCTTACCTAAGAGGGAGCAGAAAGTCATGGGTGTGCTCGATTTTTATCCAGAGATGGGAATAAATGAGTAAATGTTCAAGGAATAGTGGGAGAAAAAAAATTAAGTTGCATTTGATTACCTTCAGAGTTGTGCTTATGCAAAAGACTCCGGGAAAAGCCCCTCAGGCCAGGTGGAAGGTGCACAGCCTGGGGATTCTCAGAAGTCCTCCTTCTCTGCGTGGCCTGCAGCCACCCTCCTGCCCTTGCTGTGACAGCCCCCAGCCCTCTATTCATGACCATACATCAGGCCCTCGGTGGAGCCACCGGACTCCAATCCCCACAGTAAATGAAGTAACTCAGGGGACAGCATGTAACCTCTCCTGGTGACACTTGAGCAGTCAGCAGTGGGCAGGTCTATATTTGGGCTTTCACTCATGAAAGGCCTGTTGCTATTTGCAGCCGGAGCCAGCTCGTGTTACCCTTGCCTTTGCTGCCCCACTTGTAGAACCCTGGGCTAAAACAGGCAGGGGTAGCCCATGGGGCACGCAGAGGTCACAGGGGAGGG